GAACCAGAATATCAACGGTTCAAAGAGGAAGAGAAGCAACTCTGCATCAGTCAGAATGAAGAGCAGCTTGTGCTGAAACAGGAGACTGACGACATGTTGGTGAATAAGCGGCATAAAAGCAAAACTAACAATTCAAAACAAAAAAGGCACAAGAAAGCTCACCCAGACCAAATATTATATTCCTGTAAAATTTGCGATAAAACTTTTTCTCGAAACAGTTCTGTGACTACACACATGAGAATTCACACGGGTCAGAAACCTTTCACATGTCCCACCTGTGGAAAAAGTTACCATTACATGAGAAGTTTAATTTGTCACTTGAGAACTCATGGAGGTGAACAATGGTTCACATGTTCAATCTGTGGAAAACATTACCATGCAAAGGACACTTTAAAGAATCACATGAGGATTCATGTGGGTGAGGAGCTTTACTCATGTACGAGCTGTGGAAAAACGCTTTTCTCTAAAAAGGGTTTAACTGATCACATGAAGACTCACACAGGTGAGAAGCCTTAATCATGTATAACCTGTGGAAAACATTTTGGTTGCAAAAGTTATTTAAATCTTCACATGACAGATGACATGAGTGAGATGTCTTGTGTGACCTGTGGAAAAAGTTTCTCTCAAAGTGGTAGCTTGGAAACGCATTGTGTCACTGTATTTTGTAAAATGTTAAACCTTTTGGATTTAGGAAATGCAAACCAATAGCCATGTATAAATTTTATTTTTATTTTTATTTTTTAAACCAAATGAAAAGTAAAATTCACCACACAAGTTATGTAGTTCCTGTGTTTCACACTGTCGACGCACATCAGCAGCCTTGTCAGAAACCTGACCACAGCTGCACTATTTTCTTATTTTCACAGTTGTTCTGCTGCAATAGTTACCGCATGTATTCCTGCCGCTGCTCCTGATAAAAGTCATAATTAAACTCCTTTGTACTGAGCAGCTCTCTGATAGCAGACAGCATGTCTGTGGTCCATAGCTAAACGATTAATGTTTGCAGTTTTTAGACGCCACTGTTTCATCACATCCGGTTATAATTCTGGTCTACTATTACTGTTTTCCAATCCAGCGTAAATCCTTCTTGTTGTCACGCCATTACTCAATTATTTGTCTGCAAGTTTCAATAGTTGAGATTAAAAAGCTCTTTTGGGTTTTTCTTTAGGCCTTCTGTCTGAGTATTTTATGTGATGTATATTCTGTATTTACATAGAGGAAGAAGATTTTTGGAAGCTATCACCATCTTGTTTGCTCAGCCAGAAATTTGTAATATATTTTGACTCATCTAATTGAGTTAATTTTTCATAATTATAAGTTTTTAATTTTACAATACCCCAACAATATTATGCTTAGAAGAAGGTCTTTGACTGACATTGAAATGCTTTTGTTTTTTTTTTATTGTCCAGATCTGTGTAAAGAGGAGGAGGTTCTCAATGAGACCAGCAACCAGATGGAAAATGCCACTTTATATCAAGAGGAACCAGAACCTGTGCAGATAAAACAGGAGCAAGAAGAACCAGAACATCAACAGTTCAAAGAGGAAGAGAAGCAACTCAGCATCAGTCCGGATGAAGAGCAGCTTGTGCTGAAACAAGAGACTGATGACATTTTGATGATTCCTCCTAATGTGCAAAGAATCCACAATGAAACAGAACCACAGAGGAACCAACTCATCTCTCATGGCTCTGCTGAGGATGAGAGCCAGGATGAAGGAAGTAATTCTGAAGACCCAGGAAAAAAGAGAAAGGAAGAACAAAATCAAAATGAGAAACATCAGAAAACGAAAAGGCAGAAAAATACAACTGACAGTTTGAAACTAAAAAGGCACAAGAAAGCTCACCCAGACCAAAAATTCTATTCTTGTAAAATTTGCAATAAGACCTTTTCTAGAAACAGTTCTGTGACAAGACACATGAGAATTCACACGAGTGAGAAACCTTTCTCATGTCCCACTTGTGGAAAGCGTTACCATTACAAGAAAGGTTTAATTTGTCACTTGAGAAATCACACAGGTGAAAAACAGTTCACATGTTCAATGTGTGGAAAACAATATTGTTCAAAGGACACTTTAAAGAGACACATGAAAATTCATGTTGGTGACCAGCCTTACCAGTGTACAATCTGTAAGAAAAGGTTTACTAGTAAAAATGGTTTTACTGATCACATGCAGACTCACATGGGTGAGAAGCCACATTCATGTGTGACCTGTGGAAAACATTTTATTTACAAAAGTTATTTAAATCATCACATGAGGATTCACACAGGTGAGAAGCCTTTTTCATGTACACGTTGTAGAAAAACATTCAGTCAAAAAGGAGCTTTAACTTGGCACATGAGAATTCACACAGGTGAGAAGCCTTTTTCATGCACGAGCTGTGAACAAAGGTTCACCAGGAAAGGCAATTTAGCTCTTCACATGAGGTCTCACACAGGTGAGAAGCCTTATACGTGTGTGACCTGTGGAAAACATTTTGGTTACAAATGTTATTTAAATCTTCACATGAGGATTCACACGGGTGAGAAGCCTTTTTCATGTGTGACCTGTGGAAAAGGTTTCTCTCAAAAATCTAATCTTTCTGCACACGTTCGAGCTCACACAGGTGAGAAACCTTTTCCTTGTGTGATTTGTGGGAGACATTTCCGGTTTAAATCTAATTTACTTTTTCATATGAAAACTCACACAGGTGAGAGTCCTTTCTCTTGTGTAACGTGTGGAAAAAGTTTCACTCGGATAAGCAATTTCACTGTTCATATGAGAGAGCACAGAGCACATGATGGCATAATTTGAACCTCAAGTATCAATATTCTCAGTAATTTGCTGTTTGAAAGCGCAGCAATTATAGCTGGGTGACATTTTGTAAATGTACCAGCTTTGTAAAACTGTAAAACAGCTGAAACACTGAGTGCCTGTAAATCTAAACTAAGAACCCACCTGTTTAGAGTTGTATTTGAAATGTAATCAATTATGAATTTAACGATGGCTCTTGACTTAATGTAATGTTTTGATTGTTGATTCTATGTTGCGTGACTTTGTTTTTTTGTGTTATGATGTAAAGCACTTTGAAATGCCTTGCTGCTGAAATGTGCTATACAAATAAAATTTGATTGATTTGATTTCAAAATAATAAATATTGCTGATTATATGATGGCAACAATGCAGACATAAGGTTCATTAAATCATAATTAATGAACCTGAGAAGTATTTTTTGTAACCGTGCATTGACTCTTTTTGTTTTACCCATGTGTCTTTTTCCGTTACAGTTTTTGTTTGAGAATGTTTTTACTTTTTAGAATATTAGAAAAATGATTGATGAGGTAAATTTCAGATAGAAAAGTGACAAAAAAAAAACTCTCAACTGTCTTA